CAGGCTCCTTAGCAAAGCATGCAAAGGCTATGTGCCTCCCATGCCTGCAATGGATGAAACAGTGACAAGTAACAGCCTAAGTGATTGATGAAGTAGGAAAGATATCTTAAGAGAGCAGAATCAGAAAGTGACAGGAAAAAAAAAAGGGATATGGAAAACAAGATTTCCTCCTTCAGGAGGGAGTTTGATTTACATTTCCTACAAAAACAATTTTTTACACCTATGCTAATTTTTTTTTTATTTCAAGCACTCTCTGACAGGTCAAGAATATTCTTTAATGCAAATAATAAAGACAATAGCAACATGGCTCCAACCAACAGAGGAGACCAAAACATATGTCCTTCAGAGACAAAGGAAAGCAGATTCTGCCCTAAAGAGCTCACAGTCTGCTTTTACTAATGTACATTGGATGTGGTGATATTTACATATTACAGACTTAGAGAGAGCTGACTTTGTTATTTAATCTATAAAAATAATTTTCTTAAGTTTCAAAGTATTTATTGACAATGATTCTTGGAAACAGACATGAACATACAGCAATATTTTAAAAGTTCAACATAAAGATACTGGACTGAGTAAATTCTACGAGACTACTGCTTTAACAGATTTGGAACCTAAGGATGTAACTGCTTGATTCATTGCTTGTTACAATCCATCAAAGTTGCTTGGTTTATCATAGCTCTTCGTTGTCTTCAAAAGATTCAGTGAAAGTTTTTTTCCACTACTTTGCACAGCTTTTCAAAAGCTGACAGGCACACAGCTGAAGAAATCCATGGTAGTGCCTCTTTTTGTGTCCCGTAAGTCTTGCTGGACCTGTCTCACTTCCATGCTGTGGGTAAGGCAATAACTCAAGAAGTACTGAAGTTTTCACTAAGTAAATCACTTCAGAATTACTCTAGTATAATTGTGTATGTGAACAATTGAAAGAAAATGGAAGTCAGAAGGCATTTAAAATAAATAAATAAATAAATTTGATGTTCCTGTAATGAATTTACTCAGCTACCAAAGCAGACTTTCATCTTCCAAAATACATTAAATTCCTCTTGCCAAGGCCCCATCTGGAATAGGGGAGCTCTCTTCACTCTTCATGACCAGGGCAGGTCATCAATCCAAACCTACAGGCACTGTTTAGGCTAGATCACAAAGTGACAGAGACCTGTAAACACCCCTATGGTGGTAAAGCTGCAGTTTCAATAAGAGCACTATTATAATACCATCAACTGTCAGTCTACATAGTCTATGTTCTAACATTTCCAATCCCATATATAAATGAGAAAAGAATTAAGACTTTGCAGCTTCACTTTCATTTTCATATTTTGAAAATCCACCCATTATCAGTCCTGAAAAAGATGAGCAGAAAACTAGGAACTTAAAGGGCCAGAAGAATAAAACTGACAATGATATTAGAAGTGCATCAAAAAACAAAGACTGGACATTAAAATGATAGCCATGGAAACTGCCATAAGGTACACAGACTATAGCAGGATCCTGAAACCAACAGCATTCTAGTGAAATGCTGGGATTGCCCACAGGAAAGCAATTAAAGGATCTGATCAATAGTTGTAACAAAGTCCTTAAATTGTTTTCATATCCCTATATAAAACAAGACATTTAAGAAATAAATGAGTCACTCCTATATGCACTTTTTGCTTTTTGACATCATCATCTTAAGTGCTGGACATTAATAACTTAGTGTAAAACATGAATAAGTGTTATATTACCTAATGAAAAAATAATATAAACACAGACAAAAAAATCCCTATCAGTTTCTGCTTCCTATGCGGCAAAATGATTTTTCAGTTACTTACATTTAGACTGACGCATTCTCAAACTGAGGACCTTTTTGAAGCTATAATCTAGTACACACTGAAAAAAACCTCAACATTCGCAATTCAGAAATTGGACTGCAGCTCTACTGAAGTTTCTATTTCTGTAGTTTCCATTTAAAATAGTTTCAACTTGTGTTTAATCTCTTGTCCCACTGGCTTTTTCAAGGTGGGGAGAGTATGCAATATGCACACAGTATAAAAAGATGATCTTGTGCACAAAGCCATGAGAGACTTGGGACAGATGTCCAGTTTCCAGTACCGTTACAAATTTCGTTAATGTAAATTACTTTGTCTCTTTGAGCCTCCGCTCTCAGCCATTGAGGTGTGAAGACAAACTGGTCAATGGTGTTCGCTATTCAGACACCAGAATTGAATGTTTAAATAAAAACAAACAAAAACACCCCACCACACAAGTCAATTAAAGAACTACTGGTAAAGAACAGGCCAGACTGACACACAGGCCTAGGAACCCAAAAAGTGGAACTTAGGGACCAAGTTCTCTGTTGCTCATTACTTCTCAGGCAGGTGCCTTTAGGAATCAAGTTTGGCACGGTATCTTTATTGTGTGAAGGATCCAAGAAAAGGATACATTCAGACTTGTAATGAATATAAAAAAAATCTAATGAAGCTGCTACCTTGTCAATCAGGTGTAGGCTGAGACAGCCAAAAATAACAGGAAGAGTTCCAGCAGAGCAAAAAGCATGCATATCAACTCTTGAAGTAAAGATGTCAGAAAAATCCCGTGTGTGTAGAGTGGGCAAACAGCAAACAAAAACTTGAACAGGCTTCCTTTGCTCTCATGAACTTCTGAACAACCAGGAAAGAGTAGGACTGGTGGAGTCAGCTGCTTGTTACTGTGAACCAAGACAGTCAGTCTTACCTGCCCCCAAAAATGCCAGCACCAAAAAGCAATAAAACACCACCACAAACTGCCTTCCTTTAGCCCTTACAGGCTTTGCATGTATGTATTCTCATGCTACTACTGAGTGCAATTCTGTAAATCTAATCTCAACATCTAATCTTTAAAGGACCAAGCTTCATTAACCAAGGTGCAACACAGCAAAAAGGCCTGCAACTGCAGGCACAGAAAGCAGCAGTGCTGCACTGGTGGAACTCCCTCAGTCAAATGCCAGATAAGGCAGAAAGTCATAAGATTTTTATGCTTTAGAGCGGTTCAACATTTATGCGCATCTCAGGATTTGTGATCAGCAGTTCAGCTAGCCTTAGACATACTTCTTACATATAATCTTGGCTTTACTCCATGTCACTTGCATTGCACACAGGCAAGTTGTCTATACTGTGCCACGTTACCTCGTCTTTATTGAGCATACTTGCTCTTCTGTCTGTGGGCAATTAACTCAATTTGCAACAAATAAAAGTTTCAGCAACCAGTTTAAACTCCTCATCAGACTTCTGGCACGGGTTGCAAAAAGCCTGCCAGCAAACGATGGCCACAAGCAGCAGTTGTTTTCACCAGGGCATTCTTCAGTGAGATCCCTCTCCTGCTACACTGTAGACATACCCAACATACTGCAGCTTTTCAGCTACCTCTACTGTGTAGTTCTCTCACTTATATCACACAGGAGAGGGTATACCCTGTAAGAGGTGTACCAGTGGTATGCATTTACTAGAGGAATGACTCCAAAATACACAGTGCGGCAATCTGCTCAAGAGCTTAGTATAGGCTTATTTCAAATAAGAGACCACTTTGTCCTCTCTGGCCAGACAAGCAAGGCATGGAATAAAAAGGGCAGAAGCAATTGCTGCCATTCATACACAGCAGTTGACTGAAGAAAAGCTGTGTGTTTTCCAATGCCACCTCACATCTTCTCTAAGCCTTTCTTCTGAAAAATAAACAGAAGATCAGCACTGCCGCCTCTGAAGACACAGTCTATTTTCTTACCCCCACACGCTTTACTGTCGTCTCCCAGGCCTCCCCCTAAGCAAACTTGCCTGGTTACCACAAAGAGGTACCCAGCCAGCCAGACTGATCGCTCTGATCAGGCAATAAAACTCTAAGGCCAGGGTCACAATTTGCAGTGCAGAGCTCCTTATTGCATGCAAGTATTTAAAAAATACTGCCAAACTGAGTTATGACAGAGCGTGATTCTCCACGACAGAAACATTCAGTTAAGTTAAACTGATCTTGTTGATTTTGCTTTTCTTCTTTCTATCTTCTCTTCACCCTCTAAATTATTCTAGTCTGTACATTAATCCCTTGCAGAATCTCTTTTGCTGTGCCACCTAGACACCCATATTTGCTTGGAAAGTTTCATCTTGACTCAACCGGAATGCTTCTCTTGGTAGTACACAGTCTGTTATACTGCAGTTTATTACCTTCAAAAAGAGCCTGAAGACAAAAAGGCACCTCAGGACTTAAACGGTCCATTGATGTTCTGTTGCAACCTTTATTTAAACAGCCAATTTGGCTAAGATGGCCTAAACAGACAGGGAACAAATCGGAAAGATTAAGTGTATGACAACGACAAAACCAAAATTCCATCCCAGATCATGGTAAGAGCTCTGAGCAGCATTTCTGCCTTACATGGGAGTGTTTTAATTGTGCAGCTAGAAATTAAAATTCTATAAACTGGTGGTTTTATTAGAACAGCAGCCCCCTATCACATTTGGATACTGTTTATTGAGGAGCTTACCATATGACCAAGCTAGCAAAAGCATAGGAAAAGCAAAAAACTGAAGCACAGAGCAAGTCACTTGCCTAACGGTGCAGGCAAGGCTGTGGCAGGGCCAAGAACTGAACATAAGCTTCCTTACTTATTGGTGTATTGCCAAAGCTAAGACAACTCGAATATTTGTACAGAACTACTTCCCCAAGCACTATGTGGACAACAGCTATCACACATCGTATGAAAAATTTTACGAACAAATACATCCTTTTAATTAACCTGCCAGAAAGCTAACACTGACTAAGAAGCAGCCAGTGTCCAGCCTGGATCTGCTCCAGCCGTCCTAGCTGTCAATTCTAGTCATTTAGAGTCTTTGTTTGAGTTCCCCCATGAGGTGACCTTTACAAAATTCAACTCTTCTGAAGATCAGGAAATTCTGTTATCTGCCATATCATTACGCAGGACAGTTCTTAAAGCACAAGTAAAAAAAAAAAGTATTATAAACAAATGTCTTCCAGTCAAGTTCAATAAAAGACAGTAATACCTTAATTTTCTGGTGAATATGCCTCAGTGAATCTGCTGTACCCATGTCCATGTTGTCACTGATGCACACAAAATCCAGCTTCATTTTTGTGTCCAAGTTTAACATCTTTTGGATTTCCTTCCTTGTAATCACAATGACCTCTAGGACAGAGGAAAGTGGAATGAGATCAAGCAAAAAAAAAAAATATTCATCACAAATAAGATACACTTACTTTTTTTTTTTTTTTTTTTTTAAACAAAGCCTGATGGAACTGTCAAAAGGCTCAAGTAACATAATTGGGTTCTCTGATGAACCAAGCTCTTTTGGCAATAGTAACTTTTGAAGAACAGAATTAAACTCCTAATGAATATGAATGAATATGAAAACAATCTCTCCTGCTCTGTGTGGGTGGAGGGCTGATACTGAAAGGGACACATGCGAGCGGCACAAGTATAGCAAGACAGAACAGAAATGTCTTCTATCATTAGCAAGTGACCTCAAACCCTATGTCCTCAAACAGACCAAAGAGACCCTACATTAATGTCACTGACTCTTTAGAGCTTTGTCTTTTGCCCTCCCTGATCTGGTATAATCTTCTGTGAACACCACCACCAACCACAGTATTACTGTATAATCGTTAAACTATTTCCCAGCACCAGCTTGGCAAGGGACTGAAGTAATATGTGAGCAACAAACTCATCCCATCTACAAAAGAAAAAAGGTAAATGCATATTTGGAGGATATCGACAGTGGCATGGGTATTTTCCAAAATCAAGAATGTGAGAACAGAAGCTCTGCAAAGAAAAGACTGAGAAAACAAAACAGCAAGAAACCTTTTCCTCTGACCTCAAGAGCTGGAAGGAAAAGCAAGAGTCAAACCTTCACATTAAAATATCTCCCCCACCAGAAATACCCCCCCCCCCCCCCCCCCAAAAAAACCCCAATATTGTAACATCATATTCCATATGGAATTTTAATAGGTAAGTATGGGAAATAATAAAATAATACAGCCCTCAGCCTAAGAAGCTCCTGTGGCAAGATAAAAACACACTAAGAATAAAGCTGTATCATTCAAAACTGAACTCATCCTGAATCTGTTAACAGAAAAGAGGAAGGAACTGTAAAGATAAGAATCGTGTGGCAGTTTGGTACCAGAGATATGGGAGGGCTTCCCTCCCATTCCCCTATTGGATGCCAATGTGGATTCAAAACAGGTTGAAGAACCTAGAGAAAGGGGTTGAAAGCACACCTTGCATTGGGGAAAGAAGTAACTGATGGAGAAGGAATTGGTGTCAGGTGGAAGTTATAAGCCCACAGTTCAGCTTAAATCTGGTGAGTGGGACAAAGGTCTCCTAATATTTATTAGAAGAGATGAAGCACTCATGGTTGGGACAGAAGGGATGCAGTAAATCAGACTGTGGAACACTTACTTACTAATATAAGCAAGTATGAGGAACTAAAGCTTCCAGTAATGCTTAGAATTATGATCCAGGGAGAGAATTCATACCACTGGAGTATTAACACAGAAACGTACAGCTTGGTCAGGGGGCAGAAGCAAGAAAGGAGCAGGAAGGTGGCAGCTTGCTTACTGAAGCTGTATGTACAACCCTGCATATCCAAATTTTCATAGGGGATAGATAAACTGAAAAGCTATATGTGAGAAAGGTTGACCATAACACCACCTACTAGTGGCCAAAAGCATCAAGTGGAAATGGTTACTTCTGAATAAAGAGCCACACAAAGCACAAGACTGGTTACAGAGAAGCTTTTAGCTATCCATATATCCATATCACTGGATAAAAGTATGTTCCTAGCAAAAAAAGAGAGAGGAGAACAGTCAAAGAAAGCAGACATTCAGAAAGCAGACTCAATAAACAACAGGCAAAAAGCAATTCCAAGGGAAAAAAGTTCTTGAAGATTTCTTAATGAAACAAAGTAAAGGCAAAGCCTTATGTTTGCTCTTTCTTTTGTTCCTTCACACTGAAACTGTAAGAGGCTGACATGAATAACCATGAGCTGATCTTTACATCTTCACAGAGAAAAGCAGCAGTCAGGAAAAAAGCCACATTCTTGGGATAGAGTATAAAATAATTGCACAGTCATGCAGGACAAGCAAAAACAGAAAAGCAGAAAGGCAAAGGACAGATACAAACATGAAAAAACAGAGCTACAAAAGGTGTCAGGAATAAGTTTTATAAGTAGCAGGGGGAACACCACAGAAAGATTTGGTCCACTGCTCAAAAGGTAAACAAAAACCTAAACCCAGAAAATATTAAAGAACCTCAGCATGTACTAAATGCCATTTTAGCCCTCCCGTGAAACAAGGCCCACAGGTGAGCATTACAAGTCTGTTACTTCCCCCTGCCCTGTTCTGTCCAAAACCTAGCACTTGGCTCCACGCTGCAACAACAAGGCCTAAATGCCTCAGACAGAACAAGTAACCCTGAACTTCAGGCCAGACTGAAACAACAAACCAAACGATATCCCAAGAAAGTTGACATGCCTCTCACGTCACTCTTGTTAATGATTCAGAAAAAAAAAAAAAGAGTGAGAGACTCCTAGTTAATGACACTGGGAAAGACAACGTTGGGAAAAGCATATAGACTGGAAAAGCCTTGGAAAGGGGAGAGGAGGGGGAAGGGGACACAGGAGGTGCAGCCTATAGTGAAAGAAAAGACATGACATGAGCCAATAGCACAGCTCCAGTGTGGAGAAGCGACCTCCTGCTAAA